TTTTAACTTAATTTTTCATTATTTGTACTAAGGATAAATATTTATTGTTTATAAATTATCACTAAAACTAAAATCATAATAACATCAAAATACGATGTAAATTTATTTTACTTGTATAAAGAAAAACAAAAAAATAAACTTTGCATAAATTCTCTAGGTAACCTTTAAAAGAATGCAGTTGATTTACAATGTTCCAAAAATGCTTAAAAATTAAATAGAATATTTTTGTCAAGAAAAATACTTTCAAACATCATTGATATTTATGGTATATAAATATATATATTTATATTAAATGGTACCCAGAAAATGATGCAACGGAAAATTGGACACCGGAAAATTAGCAACAGAAAATTACATCAACCATGAGCCAGTCGAGACTGTCGGATCTGGCTGTGCTGTCCATTGAAAACGAGCTTACAAGACAGATTTTGATGATGTCATTGACCAGTTTACCACAATGAAAACAAGAAAACATTCATTCTAAGACCATAGTATCAAATGTCATTCTTTTGTGTATTGCCGTGTTTTGTATTTAGTTGTTCTGAAAGTGAACAGTTGCATTTTAAAGATCTTTTAATTTGAACTGATTATTTTGTGGTATTGGATTTTGTCTTGGATCATACATATAAACAATAACATACCGGTCAGTAGAGTAAAGTAGAGGTAGAGCATGTATGAAAATTTAGCTACAGCTAACCATTCAGCATAGGGTGAATCGGGACCGCCCCGGGTGACGTTTACTCTAGCTACGCCACTGGTTCTCTACCATTCAGTCGAAGATTGTGTGTTTATAAAACGATAATTCGGACTTTGTTAATCGGACGTTTCTCTGTAGCTGAATGTAAATGTAATTAATACTGTTTAATACAAAAAGAGACCATTTACTTATATAAATTGTATCTATAAAAATAACACATAAACAGAAATATGTGTGTGTGTGTGTGTGTGTGTGTGTGTGTGTGTGTGTGTGTGTGTGTGTGTGTGTGTGTGTGTGTGTGTGTGCAAATATATTGATATAATAGGAAAGAACCGTTAGGTTGATGATCCGAAGTTCTTTAGTAGTTTTGTTTTTATTTAAAAAAAAAAAAAAAAAACAGTGCTCGATACACAAGTAGAGACGAGATTATAATTATTTTTTTAAATATGATTCCATCGCGAATCCTCAAGCATTATTTTGGAATAACTATGGCATGGAATATTTGAAACTGCCACCCAGTGGTTAAGGTTTAATATGGGAATTAAACTTAAATACTGCTGACCAGTTTCGAAACATAGTAATTCATGTGTCGCGATGGAATCATATTTTTAAAAATAATTATATATATATATATATATATATATATATATATATATATATATATATATATATATATCCTGGTCATTTCATTATCAATCTATCGCAGACGCACACACACAAACACACACACACACATATATATATATATATATATATATATATATATATATATATATATATATATATATATATATAAGATATTCGGATTACTAACACAAAAACAGAGAATGTCTCATATCGGGAATATTCAACATTGAAAACATAAGGAAAAAAATTAATTATTTTTAATAATATGGAAATTCCGCTTTTACTCTGAAGACGGTCACGAGACCAGAAACTCGTGTAATAAAATTATGGAAAATAAAGCATAATATTTTTTCTAAAAAAAACACATTACAACCAAAAACGTTTGCGGCACGTCTCTTCTCTTTTTTTTTAATATACATACTTTTCTCCCGTTGAACCACTTTATAACCTCTTTTCTTTTATATATATATATATATATATATATATATATATATATATATATATATATATATATATATATATATATATAAATTTTAAAACTTGAAAATCTTTAAATTTCGTGTTCCCATATCTTCAGCGCATCACTCGTTGCATAACTATAATGAACATTTACGTTTGTATTTTCACCAACACATATTGTGACTTAGTTCTTTAAAAATGCATCTTTTAATAGCTGTAATTTTTTTCTAACGTGTTATACTTATCATTTCTTTTCATATGAAATGCTGACAAACCTCAAATTTACTCAGTAAATGGCAGAGCATTGTGATTTAAAGATTTCTGAAAATCAGAGAATAGTTTGCTGTAAAAGTTCGCAAAGAATTAGGAGCCACTGAGTGAGAATCTGTAACAATAGCCAAACGTAAAATGCCTTCGGATTGTTCTAATATAATCAAAACACCTAACTTTGTACGAAAGGTACGGAAAATTATAGATATGACCTTAATTAACACCATTGCTAAGGATCTCAAAGTTTCAAGGCATTCTATTGTAGGAATTGCGCAAGGCGACCATCGATACAACATATATGTGAGGAGGAGTGGCAAATTCATGCCAGCAAATAGAGATGATAACCATCTCTACTGCGCGAAATGCTTGTTGAGAAATGTCAAATATCAAGGGCCTGGGATGCTTTGATCAGGACCAAAAGATCAGCCGAATGAATGACAGCGTCTCTAAAGATGTTCTAATGGTCTTGCACGCAGAATTTCCGGTACCTGTGATCGTTCTGGAAGTAGTAACCAAAGATGACGATGCCATTCCTTTATTCAGGTCTTAAGGGTCGATACTAGTGACCAGACGGAGGTGCTGGAAAGGGCTGTGCAACCCTGGTTAGATAGCTTGAGCAAAGGAAGACTGTACACAAACCAACAAGATAGATGCGTTACAATTTCTACGATTAGGTCACTCCAAACATATGACATCCTAACTCTCCAGACCTGAATCCGTTTGTGTTGTATAGTAGCTAGCACCTGTTACGGCACTCTACCAGATGGCCTGGCTCATAGCCTTAAATAGTCTACGATTAAGGACTTCAGCAGTTAATTATTAAGTTGATACTAATCAGATTAATATTCGGACTGATCTTCGTTTGGCTATACAGCATTTGACCCTCATCTATTCCTTGTAAGTTGTCTTGTTAATTGTTTTGTAACTTATAGTTCTGTTTTTGTATGTATCCGTTAGCACCAGATACTGGTGCTGAATGAATCTATTAAGCACTCATTCTTCTCTGTATATCATTCACCTCGACGATACAACTTTATCTATCTATCTATCTATCTATCTATCTATCTATCTATCTATCTATCATCTGTTGCAGATTAGCTACCCCCCTCCAGAATTTTTCAGGAAAATAAACTTCAAGCGATTTTTCAGGAAAAATAAACTTCACACGTCTATTGTCGCGCTTTCTCGTAGTGACAGGGGGGTTTTCCTTCCAAACTTTTTGTCTAACGTAGTGTGGAAAGCCAATATCATAATTGTACCATTATATTCTCTCCTAGTTACATGTTTGTTGCAGAGTAGCTAGCATCCCTTCAGCACTCTACCAGATGGCCTGGCTCATAGCCTTAAATAGTCTACTATTAAGGACTTCAACAGTTGATTAATAAGTTGATTAAGAAATGGATTAATATTTGGACTGATCTTCCTTTGTTTGGCTATACAACATTTGACCCTTCTCTATTCCTTGTAAGTTGTCTTGTGCTGAATAAATATATTAAGCACTCATTCTTCTCTGTATATCATTCACCTCGACGATGCAACACTATCTATATATCTATCTGCTGTAGAGTAGCTAGCACCCCTTCACCAAATGGCCTGGCTCATAGCCTTAAATAGTCTACGATTAAGGACTTCAACAGCTCGACGTACAACAGTTTTAGTACTAAATATGAGGCGTAGTCGGCAAGGCCTACATAACAATAACAATAAAATCTATCTGAAGTTCGCCATAAGTAGTACAATATCCAAATCAGACAAAGATCATCTGATTCGGACATGTCAACGATTCAGACCTTGTATTCAAACAGGCATCGATGCTAACGGCAGAATAATTAATTAGATGAAGAAGAGTTTCAAGATTATTAATGGCAATTTTGTTTCAAATAAACCTCTGAGCAATACTGTACATTCCTATCAATAAGAACATTGTTTCAGTTCGATAAAGACAGCTTAGAGGAAGAAAGGCGTTACACAGAATTCTTACACTTTGTTATTCAATTACTTAACATAGACAGACAGACAGACATTGACAGATACAGACAAACAGACAATCACAGACGGAGACATCTGAGTTTCAAATATACGTTCCGGGGTGATTATTTGTTATTTATTTATTTGTTTATTTGGGGGGAAAAATCCAAGCAGGTCATCCTAATTTTTTTCCAACTTCACCTTTTATTTAATATTCAGGAAATTTCCTTCTGCTGTAGACGAGTGAGGCATGTTGAAGGAGCGAACAGTCTAACGAGCGTGTCTTCCTTTTCGTGTCCCTCTCTGTGTCTTTTTGGCTTTTTTGCGGTTCGAAACCACTATCTTATAGAAAACAGCGTCCTTTGTCCTGCCAGCTCCGTCTAGAAAAATAATTCATCAAGTCCATCCCACTCAGCTGAACCTCTTTGTCAGAGTCGTTTGACATGTTTCTTGTGAGCTCCACTTCACTTAACTGATATCGCTACACTCGGACAAAGCTTTTCATTATTGAAAAATATGAATTTTAATGTAATTCTAATCGTTCTTTTTATTTCAGCTACATTGTCTCTTTCAGACAAAAGTATCTATAGCTAAGAGCCCGGAAACCATCATGACTAACCACCGATTTCGACGGGCCGGACACCTTGCCCGAATGCAAATTATCTTATCAGAGATTGCATGGGGCAAAAGACCAGGTGCGGCCCCACGTCATCGATTCAAGGATCAGTTCAAAAACACGTTGATGAGGACAGAAACCGACCCGGGCAATTGGGAGGCAGGAGCCTCAGGAATAACCAATTGGAGGAGAGCAGTCCACGAAAAAAGAACAACGTTCGAAAACACTAGAAGACAAATAGAAGAGAGGAAATGAAGCCAAAGAAAAGCTAGAATTCTCCACCCGCTGAAATCTCCTGACTTACTATGTTGTGGCTGCTGACGTCTCTTCAGATCCAGCATGGCTCATTTTACACAGGAAATGTCAATGAGCACCCCAGTTCTCTGAAATAAGTTCCGACAACGACGACAGATAGATAGATAGATAGATAGATAGATAGATAGATAGATAGATAGGTAGGTAGCAGTAGTGAAGGCGAATGTCTGATGTTGTTATTTGCAAAAATATACTTCTAAACAATGGTCGACAAAAATGTTCTACCAAAAGGAGGAATCTGTCTCAACAGATGCAAACGTCATAGTTCTATCTTTCATAATATCCGAACAGACAATCTTGCTGATTCGCCAGAGACCATCTCGGTGTAGCCATCATCTGACTAATAACCTGAGCTCTATAATGACGGAATCTAGTTATTTTTACTCTCACGGCTCACGAGATTTGTATGCTTGCCGATTAAAATAAGTGATAGCGTTGTCTCTCTGACTAACTACATCAAAGTCTTTGATGCGTAAAGCTCTTTTAAGGCGAGATATGAACAGGTGGTGGCATGCTGACTGCGCGGTAAAAAAGCCAGTCATCATTGAACAATTTTCTTTGCTTACAAATAATTAGTTGTGCCGACAAACTGCACATTCAACATGAAACAACATATCCAAGATACGAATCTTAATAGCCAGCTATTGAAAAATAAGAATATGTATTTACACACCACTCACATGTTTGTTTATATATATATATATATATATATATATATATATATATATATATATATATATAATTATTTATTTAAAAATATGATTCCAACTGGCGACATAAGAGGTCCTATGTTTCAAAATAAGGGCCGAAAACTTCAATATAATTATTTGAATTAAATTGAGTTAAAGTAAGCTCTGTTCCATCTTCTGCGAATTTTTTTTTTTTTTTTTGAATAACGTATTTCTGAAATTTACGTGTTTTAAAAAATTTGAAATCAAAATTTCCATGGTAACAGCTAGGGCGAATTGTTTGTTGGGTAGGCGGGTGTTGGGTGTTAATAATAAGTATCAGTATAGAGTTACTTTCATAGATGTCAAGTCAGGGAAAGGGGGTATTGTCTAAATTTGAAACGGAAGATGTATTCACCCTAGCCTGGTATGCGTGTCTATGGAGATTTATTTTTTTTTTTTATTTTATTTTATGAAAGGGATTTGTGCATATAAAAAAACTGCCGTAACGTTTGTTTTTTGACGACTTCATAAAGGGTTATCTTTTTTGTAGTGTATTTAAACTATTTATTTGGGCTATGGATTATGAAAGTTATTATATTGTATGCTTGTTCTTAGCTAATTATTCAAACCATGAATCTGATGATTGGGCTATGGATTAATCAAGTTATTATATTGTATGCTTGTTTTTAGCTAATTATTCAAACCATGAATCTGATGATGTCGACAAAAAACCGTTAACTCATGTCTATTGTTTAATAGATTATTATTATTTAGAAGCTTAATAATGTGAAAATTCTCATGGAGGCACAAAGGGCATGGGTCAACCCAGGTTTTACATGTTCTAGCCCTGTTTATAATTTTCCATTTTACTTTAGGTGTCCTATTTGTTTCTTCAGATGCCAAAAATATTTAGATAGGAAAGTCTGATTTCTTTTATTTATATTATTGAAAGAGCACTTATGCTGCCTCCATCTATCTTTAAAATCATTCTTCGTGGACCCAATGTATATCATGGACCCATCTCTCTCTCTCTCTCTCTCTCTCTCTATATATATATATATATATATATATATAGAAAGAGAGATAGAGATAAATAGATAGAATTATTATTATTACTATTACTTAAACGTTATTTTTAGTGGATATTCGAATTTGAGTAGACGCTCTGCTTATTACAGAATATATTTCTTTATTTTCGTCTACCGGCCTGAAATCTTATTAAAGAAAAATATGCGCTCTCCGGCACGATTCGAACCTGGCAGGAAAAACTGTCGTTAGATCCGACGTGCTTTAGCCCGACTCGTCCATGAAGTGCGTCGATATTCATACAAAGTTGAAAAAGTACCTTATAAAAACACATCATTCCCAGACCCAGGAAACATACTTACGAGGCCGAGACAGCTTAAAACGAGTCGGATCTAACGACATTTTCTCCTGTCAAAGTTGACGCAGGTTCGAATCCTGTCACAGAACGTATTTTTTTTTTTTTCATTAATTAGATTTCTCGAATATTCAGGACAGTATCAAGGCGAAAATAATAAATAAACGCAGCGTCTACCCAAATATGGGTATCCAATAAAAATAATGTTTAAATTATAAAATCTGTCAGATTACGTTTGGGCATTAAAATCACCAGTTAGGAATTGTTTGAGCTTGTGAAAGATATGACTTTACACTACAGGGCACGATTAGAATTTGCTTGATCATTGATGCACTTCATCTCTGTGACGCGCTAAAGCACATAAAATAAAAGATGCATCCCTTCTTGCCAATTAAAAGAAAAAAAATCAGCAGATACGCACACATAAGGCACGAAAAAAAAAACGTACTAAAAAGTGCATATAAAAAAATAAAATCGGGAAGTATAAGCAGTCAATTACTGATAAACCCTGATGAGTGGACGGAGTGATTCCCGGAAGGTCTGTCTACGAAACTCTGAATTAACAAACCTTTTATTTATATTAATATAAATCATATTAATTACACACACACACACACACACACACACACACACACACACACACACACACACACACACACACACATATATATATATATATATATATATATATATATATATATATATATAACTGCATAAATGCAAGCAGCTATACTAGTCCGGCAAAACCTTAGGTGTTTTAGCTTGTAAATGAACAAACTAATACCCAAGAAAGAGTACGAAAAGAAAGAACTAAGAACATGCACTTCCGGCGAAAATAATCGTCTAGAATCTAAGTTCAGAGTCCACAGAAAAAAAACACCGACACGAGTAAAGTAAAATAACTAAACAAAGTGCTCAATACGCTAAGTAGAGCAAAATAACTCTTTTAGGTTTATTTATTTATATATATATATATATATATATATATATATATATATATATATATTTCAAATATGTCTCCTATCGCGACATAGATATTACTGTTTCGAAAGTCCTATAGTTCAATTTCAAAATTAAACTTAAACTTTAGAGCACAGTTTCATTCTCAAGCGATGTTAAGAATAACTCACGGAGAAATCAATTTACTTTATTTAGAGTAAGTTAGAAAGGTGGTTGTATGAGGGTTCCTATTTTTATCAGGGGGGTTTGGCTTTTACTAATGAAGAGAGTAGGAATGTTTATTTTGTGTCAAGTTTTGGGAGTTTTTTTAAGCTAGAGTGGGGGTTTTCTGTCTGGCTTTTTATCAGGCTTTTATGTTTTTACTGTTTGGCTTTATTACTTCTCAGTGAGCTCTACCTTACAATCTTTTTTTGGTGTTTATTTGTTTATTGTCTTCTCTATACGGCTAAAAAATGGAGACCCTCATATCAGCACCTTTCCTAATTTATAAATAGAGTAAACTGATTTCTCCATGAGTTATTCTTAACATCACTTGAGAATGAAACCGTGCTCTAAATTTTAAGTTTAATTTAGAAAGTTAACTTTAGGACTTGAATTTCGGTTTCGAAACATAGTAATGTCTGTGTTACGATGGAGACATATTTTTTAAGAAAAATAATTATAGTGTTTTGTATCGAGGATTGTTGTTTTTTTTTAAATAAAACAAAAATACTAAAGAACTTTGGATTATAAATATAATTATAACCAAGGTTCGTTTCAAGTTTTTTTTTAATTTTCATATACTTGTATTTTGATTGTTCATTGCTGCTTTTGTAACAGCGTTTCCCCTTTCAAGGGGTGTTTGGCCGATTTGAACCTTTTAAAACCCTTTATTCTACAATCAACACCATCACTTGATAATGCACTAGGCTATTTTTGTAGTGATTTTATAACATATTCATGTTATAATTTTCGAATAAATTATATACACACACACACACACATATATATATAATTATTTTTTTGATTTTTAAAAAAATTAAAAAACATAATTATAATTTAAGCTCTACTTCTGTATGGACCACCGTTTTTTTTTTTTAAATAAAAACAAAAATACTAAAGAACTCCCAACGAGTTCTTTCCTATTTTTCTACATATCTCCACATATCTGCACACACATACATACACACACACACATACATATATAATATATATATATATATATATATATATATATATATATATATATATATAGGAATCCCTGGATTAGTACGGGTAATGTGTACGTTTGAAGGTTCACACTGATCGAAAACGCATTAATCGAATATGAACAAAATTGACAAAAAAATAGTCATTTTCCATTTTTAAATCTGAGAAAATTTTTAATTAATCGGTAACTATAAAAAAAATCCATTTTCAATCACTATAGTTAAAATGAAGAATTCTTTCCGGCACTAATCTAGTATTATGCAACTATTAGTCAAATTTTGGTATAAACATGTCAGCGTACTAATCGAAAACGCAATACTCGAATGTTTGATCCGTCACTCTCGGGAAACCATGGATTATACGAAGGAGAATAACTAACCCCGGATGTAGACCGGGCCACAGGCACATTTGTGTTTGTTCGACACCCAAAAAGTCAACCTTTGGTTTAAACAGAAACTATGTCGAGTGAATCTTAGTTACAGTTTCTGGGAGAGAGTCCATGATCAATGGTTGAACAAGTCCAGCACGCTTAAGACCTCGGTCACGATGACTTGTGATTTTGTGCTAGCACAACCATCAGCAGCTTCCAAACAGTTTCGTCTATCCAATTTAGCTAGCAAGGCTCGAGTCAGACCGTGGTTATCGGGTAATTATCAACAGCGCTGCGTTCTGAAATCGTCTCCCACAGACAATATTAGACAAAAGTAATCTTTCTGATAAAACAACTACTGTGAGATTCGAGCCTGGGTCTCACGGTCGAAACACTAATGCTCTAACCAAATCATCATCAAAACAAGATATATTTAATATCTTGTAGCTACGAATTGTTTGCGTCCTTTGCAAAATATATCATAAATATAATCTTGAAAAAAATCTACATGGAAAATAACTTTATATCTCTTTTTTATTGTTCTGACCGTGATTTGCCAATAATAGTTTTATAGAAATACAAATAGATTTAGCAATACGAAAAAAACATCTGGCAGATAAAAATGATGTATTCTTACTTGTGTTCTTTTCTAAAAGATAAAACAATACTTGGTTCCTCCAAGATTATTCTGTTTTTTTTTTTTCGATGTTTATTAGATTTCCTGTTGTGAGCAAGAGAAAAAAAATCGTTTTTGATCCTCTAATAACAATCTAATTGCTTCCAGCTTGTACTGTCACCGAAACAGAATCGCTTGATCCAATCTTGGATGAAAAAAAATTTTAAAACCAGATTCGTAGGAGTAAGAAAGCAAAGAAGAAGCAAGCCAAAACAAAAAAAAACATGGCGAAAGACGCTAAAAAAAAAGAGAGCAAGCAAATAAGTTTGAAGATAGATGATAAAAACAAGAATGATAAAGCGAGACGTAGAAAGAAAAAGGAAGAGAAGAATAAACAAAATGGCGGCAAAAAAATGAAGCGCGCGATTGGAAAGGAAGTAAAAAGTAAGCAAGAAGAAGGAAGAAAGAAAGAAAGACTAAAAACGCAGGGAGAAGAATAAAAGATAGTAGAAAATAGAAAGCAAGAGGAAGAAAATAGGAAGAATAAAAGATGATGGAAGCAGAAATGAGAAAATGGAAGGGAAAGCAAAGAAGAAGTTTTTTTTTTTTTTTTTTTTTTTTTAATAAGCATTTCACCCCAAGCAAGGCGGGAGTACCACTAGTACGTAAGGGGTTACAGAGAGTGAAAATAAGATAAAATACTGGGTTTAGTGGTTATTGAGGAAAAGATAAAATGAAGAATGAAATGAAGAGGCCGATTGACATTACATTTTGTTATGGGGTCCTCCCCTTTTTCATATAAGTGGACTCTACCAGTGTTACTTGGACTGCTGCCGTTAAATACCCAGAGTTAGACAGTCAGTCAGAGAGAGAGTAGAGATTGAGAGTGAAGACTGAGATTGTGATTGAGTTGGAGGTAGAGTAATAGTGTGAGGTAACCGCTTGTAGAAGTCACTGTGACAAGCACGTAGACTCTAAGGAAGTCCGACTTCAAGACTGTTTTTCTCTATATGTTATTGCTACTAACCGCGTTCCTGGACTTACTAACAGCATTGCCCTTTGTATTATTGTGTAAATACATTTTATTTCTTATATTTAATTCCTGCGTTTGTCATTCATTGGAGACCGAATTTGATCTCGGATTCCACAACACATTTAAATTTTGAAGATTATACTTATCAGGGAAGCATGTAAGAGGAAGGGAGTTCCACTGTTGGGAAGTGCGAGCGAAGAAGCTGTTGGAGTAGAAGAGGTATTTACATTTACCTGTTTCGACAACAAAAGGGTGGGACCGAAATGCCAACCTAGTAGCACGCTTAAATTTATGCAGTCGGGGCATCAGTGAAAATAGCCCGTCAGAGCAGATGTCATGAAAATATTTGTTGAAAAGACAGAGGGAGGCCACATTACGTCTGTGAGAAAGTGAGAACTGATCACATTGCATATCTGTCTTTGGATTTTGCCGAGAAACTCGGGATGAAAAGCGTGGGCAGACCAGACCATATATGGTAACCGTATTCAATGCATGGACGAATGGTAGATTTGTAGATGTGAAGGATGGATTCAGACGAGAAATACAGAGAACCATCTTTACTTGCGATAGATGCAGCTATTTATTCAATGTAGTTGTTCCACCTCAGGTCAGTGGAAAACGTAATACCGAGAAGGCAGTAGGGGGAAAAAATGAAAGGAAAATAAAGAAATAGCAGAAAGAAGGAGGCAAGAAAGAAATAGAAAGAAGGAAACAATAAATAGCAGGGTGAAGGAAAGAAGAAGGAAGCAAGAAAAAGAAGGAAAAAGGAAAGAAGAAGAAAAAAAAGAAATAGAGGAAATAGGAAGGAGCTGGGGGAAGAAAAAATAAAACAAAGAGGAGCGGAGACGTAAGAAATGAAAGAAACAGGAAGTAGTAAACATGAAAGAAGCAGAATGAAGGGAACAAGAAAGAGTAACGAGAATGAAACGAGAGTGAAACGAGAGTGAATGAAAAGAGAAGAAAAGACGAAGATGCGCGTTAAATGAAACAAGAAGGAAAAAGGAAACAGCTGGAAGCAAGGAAGAAGAAAAAAGAAACGAGGAAGAAAATGAATAACAGTGGATTTTAAAAATAATTTTATACGTCAAAAAATAAATCCAAGAGAAAAAAAAAAAAGGATTTATAAATGCCCATCTATCTAAATGTTGGTATTTGTTTGGAAAATATCTGAGATACCATATTTTACTCTTTATTTTAAACAAGGAACCAAACATATGAACTAAAAGAAATGTCTGTTAAATAAAAAGACGCATGAAGTACTTAAATTGCGAGCCATTCATTCGATTCTTAATTGATGACTAAAAATTGTGACCGTGAGCTTAATTCCGAAAGGAAAACGTTCGTAACTACTAAAGAAAATCATTTATGACAAACACACACACACGCGTGCACACACACACACATACATGTGTGTGTGTGTGTGTGTGTGTGTGTGTGTGTGTGTGTGTGTGTGTTATATGTATGGGGTATAGGGCTACCTAACTCCATCCCGTGAAAAGTGTACTTATTATGGAATCCACCAGGGTTAATGGAGTAAACTGGGCTACATATATATATATATATATATATATATATATATATAGAAAAAGTTTCAAATTGAAAATTATAATGTTTTATTTTATGAAAGTATTTATTTATTAATATATATATTTAATACTTTCATAAAATAAAATAAATACTTTCATAAAATAAAACATTATAATTTTCGATTTGAAACTTTTTTTCTATATATACATATTAAGAAAGTATACGTGGCATCTCATTATGCTATATATATATATATATATATATATATATATATATATATATATATATATATACACACATACACACACACAAACACACCCATATATATATATATATATATATATATATATATATATATATATATATATAATTATTTATTTCAAAATATGATTCCAATTTTAAATAAATAAATTTAAATAAATAATTATATTTATGCTCTACTTCTGTATCGAGCACTGTATTTTAAAAATAATAACTAAAATACTAAGGACTTTGGATTATTTACCTAACCAGTTCCTTCCTATTTTCTATATATTTTCACATATATATATATATATATATATATATATATATATATATATATATATAGATAGAGAGAGAGAAATATTATCCACGTACCCTTCTTGTAGAATGTATGTACATCGATGAAAGAAATTTGAAAAGATAAATTGAATAATAAAAATAATTATTATTGTTGCATATTATTGTTATCACTATTATTATTACTGTTACTATCATTATTATTATTCCTATTTGTTGTAAAATACCTAAGAACGATAATGGTTATGTCCCCATTCACATAAATACAGTAGTAAATACTGTATGTTGGTCTGCGTTTGGAGATTCGTCTCCAGCTACGCTGGTCAAACTCTCTACCTGCGGACAGAGAGGATCCCCAGAAGAGGCTATGTCGAAGGGTAGAATCTGGTCTCGGGACATAGCTACCCAAGCCCGTTTCATAGGAGACTACGGGAGATTTTTGGCCGAGCCTACGGGTTCGAATACCCCACATTAAATTCAGCCTTGTGCCACATCTGACCGTGTTTGGCCCTTGGTAGGTATCCTGCCGTTGGAGATTCATTGTGGAATTCACTTGACTCAGTTCTAGCAATTGACTACTTCTTCTACGCGCCGCTGGCGAATCCTATATGTGTTGTTCTTGTCCTAAGTATTATTCTGTTCAATGACCCTCCCTAGGTTAAAATACTATTATTATTATTATTATTATTATTATCATTACTAGTACTACTATTACTATTCTCATCGTTATCATTATTATTACTATTATTATTATTGCATATTAGGCCTTTAGTTAAAATAGAAACATGATGTGAGAAATGTTAAAAATCATATTTTTATTTACCGACCACGTTTTTTTGTTTAATTTCATTGTATTTTTCCAAGTTTTTGTGTAACGACATAAAAATTGTGGGTGAATTGTCTAATGATAAGTATTTTCACCCGTCCAATGCAAGAACTGGATGTTGTCAATTGAAAAGATGCTATATCGGACATTTTAACTGCGCTATAATTAAAATCTAATTGAAATATCCGCTGCTAATAAATGCCGATATACAGCCGAAAATACTTGAGAATAAATTGGACAGTCTTTCCATAATTTTGATTTTGATGTACAACATAAATAGGAAAATTACAAGAAAAATAAAACAAGCAGAAGTTATCGGTTGAATTTAACAAAAACCTTTAACGAATTCTTGCTGCCTATGTAAGTGATTGCATATTGGGGAATTACGATAATCATTATAGTAATTCATCGAGTCTAGAAGAATCCTGAACATAATGCAGAATTCACTGGATGGGGTGTTTAGTCCTATTTGAGACCTTCAGAAGTACGCATCCACTACCAAGAATCGAACCCGGACCGTTACGATACAATGCAAGCGTCATACCACTGGACTAACGGGCCTCGGTGGCGAAGCAGAAACTGATTCGATATAGCACTGCTACTCACAAATTCCGTGGTGATATTCGTGCAAGTATTCTTAACCCAACGGGTTGTGGCCCAAGAGCAACGTCTTCCTTCCACTTAGCCGCTCCATGGCAGAGCATTAGCTGGATCAAACAAAGATATACAAGTGATAGAATTTTGTGCGATTAGAAAAATCATTATAGTAATTCATCGAGTCTAGGAGAATCATCAACAGAATGCAATCTGTTGAGGGTTCTTCTAGATTCGATGAATTATATATATATATATATATATATATATATATATATATATATATATATATATATATAGCTTATGTAAATGTATGGCAGAACAAGACAAGAGCAAATGTATTAAGAACTACAAAAAACTAGAAATTGTGGACAACCATGATCGCCTTGAGAGGACACGATACATGAAGAAGAAATTTTCGAGGATTTTATTTGCGCTTTTGCAAGTGAGGTGTAAGCGGTTGAGAGATAGACTAATTCTTAATTCATGAATACGACCAGTAGACTATAGCCGTCTTTGTAGTTGATGTTCTTAAGGGTTTCTCTTTAGTGATGTGTATTTCTATTATTTTTAAGTGTTTTTAATTTGTATTGTGTTTGTTTTTTCGATAAGTATGTTGCGTATTGAAGGTGGTAATGAGCCCTCATAGAACTATGATCACGGAGATGTAAGGTCAGCCGTCTTAATAAGTGAGTGGTGGTATGTCCGATGTTATAAGAAGCGCACATAACAAACAATCACTGGATCAATTTCTATGCACACTATGTCTAAAAAAGCAATCCCACACGAAAAAAATAAGACAATTTATATTGCCATATCTTACGTGCTTCGAGATCAAAATAGTTTTAATGATGGCACCCCAGGTTTTCTGTATTGATCCGCAGTAAAATTTAATATCTTGATGACGTCAACAGACAGAGCCATGTTCAACGGATCTGAACTCATGCATATTTATGTGGGGTAAATATGCCTTCAATGGTAGAAGCAAACAGGTATATATTGAACACGTTGCAAAATTCAGTATATTGCTTGTTTTTAAGAGCAATTTTAACATTATATATATATATATATATATATATATATATATATATATATATATATATAACGATATTATATACATACATACATACATATATATATATATATATATATATATATATATATATATAAGTGCTGTTCGATAAAAGTGACTCACCTTATCCTTTGAATTTAGCTCAACTTTCGTTTCATCGGAGAAGAGAACATTCTTCCAGTCTTCTACGGTGAGATATTTGTAATAGTGAGCCCATTCAAGACTCTTGGCTTTGTTGGCTTTGCTTATTAGCGGCTTAAACCTTCGTGTACAAGATTTGTAGCCTTGTTCTAACAAGATTTGTAACCTTGCTCTGATGCACTGTTGAAGAGGCAAGACTAACACGTTGCTCTTCGCTTAGACTGGCTGCAATTTCTTGGCTAGTTATAGTCCTATTCTTCGCGACTTCTCTCTTGATTACCCTGCCAGTTCTATCATCAATCTTTTTCTTTTGTCCCCTTGTTTCCTTCCTTGGAGCAGGACTGGTATCATTATGCGCCCTAAGCACTCGAGAGACAGTTGATTGCGAGGTTATAGCAATTTCTGCAATTTCTCTCGTAGACTTGCCTGCTTTTGAGAGGGCAATAATAGATGACTTAAGTGGTTCAGATGCGTGTTTGTTGCCTTTCATCTGGTTAGTGACTTGAGTGGCTATTTCATGTTTTTATACTGTATGAGGCTTTCTGGAATTTTCTGGAATACTCTAGATTTAATTTAAGCTGTTCTAGAATTCTCTAGAATATTGTTCTGAGTGTATTGTAAAATAGTTTTCAATATTTTGTCAAAAGCTCTTTAAATTTACCAGTTTAATCATCAGAATGCGATATCTGAGTCTCTTTTTTGGCAGTTTTTTTCCTGAATCTCATTTATATTCAAATTTACAATTATCAATAGAATACCTTAGGGTGAATAAACTTTTTTACTAGGTGGTCGAGAAGGGGTCTTTATATTAGCAAGATTAAAAATTATTTTAACCCCCAAAACAATAGACAAAAATATTTTTAGTAAAAAAAAATCAGGTGAGTCACTCTTATCGAACAGTACTGTATATATATCATAATTATTCTTTTTTAAATATGATTCCATCGCTATATAAGAGTTCTCATGTTTCAAAAACAGAAGCTAAAGTCTTCAATTTCATTTAGAGAAATTAAATTAAATTAAAGCAGCTAATTCGGTTTCATCTTCAAGCGAATTTTGGAATAACTAATTTTGAAATTTACGGAGCTTTATAAGCATATACATTCGTAATATTATTTTCTATTGATATGGAAAAAAACTAATCATTTTAATAAGGGGCGGTTTGTTATTCATTTTCACTGACAATCTTTGTATCAACATATTAGTTACTTTAGAAAAGACGTTAAGCCAACGTAGGTTCGGGGTGCCTTTTTTCAAAAGAATGATGACATCCGTTAAACGCATATCGTCTGGTCTATTTCAAGTTTTAAGTGTTAAGTCTTAAACCTATTACTTTAATTGAACTATATATATATATATATATATATATATATATATATATATATTTAACTATATATATATATATATATATATATATATATATATATAAATTATTATTTATAAAAAATTATAACATAAGTATGTTATAAAATCACTACAAAAATAGCCATTTTGTTTCAACACACTCGGTGTCT